CCACAGAGTATTAAGGGGGGGGGGGTTGCTGGCGCCAGATAGAAGACTAAAGTGATTTTAGGTCGAGATAAGTGCTCTGGTGATGTAATGGAGGGGGCGGGGGTGGTGGTCAGGCAGGGTCTGCTGTAAAACGTGACTTTGAAGCTAAGACCTGAAGGTTGAAAAGAAACCAGTATGGTAAGTAGGGTAAGGGTGTTTCTGGAAGAGGGAAAAGCAAATGCAAAGGTCCGGAGACAGCAAGTACTATTAAGGAACAGAAAATGGGAGGGGAGCCTTGAAGTGCGTAATGGGGTTTCAACTGCATCCCAGCAGGAGGAGGAAACCCTTGAAAAGCTGTGAGGAGTTTGACATTTTGAAAAAGCTCACCTTGCTCCGGCGGCTGTAGGCTGCACACCAGTGGGGTAGTCGAGGGCCATCCTAATTCTGCCAGTCTAGCTGTGTCTCCTAAAAGAAGTTAGCCCCTCTGAAACCCAGTGTCTTCATCTGTGAAAGGGGGATGTTGTTCCGCATGTTGTTTGAGAGAGACAAAGTGAGAGGCCAGCCCATGGAGACCAGTGATGGAGGAGGCCTATGAGACCAGTTTGAAACGCTAGGACCTACCTCAGAGAGTTGTGAGGGTTTATAAGTGAATTCTGTCAAAGCACTTAAAGCAGTGCCCCGCACAGAAAAAGCATCCTCTAAATGCTAGTGATGACCATTGTCACTGAAACGATGTAGGGGACCAATGATGGAGGCTTGGATTAGGGTGATGGCAGCATAGATGGTAAGAAATGCCTTAATTTTTCTTACTGAAGGAGAGTTGGATTTAGAGATAGGTGAAGGGTGGTCTCTGCTTTTGTGGAACTGGTGGTTGACTGTGGGAGATGGGTTTGTAAACAGATAATCACCATGACCTGCCATAAAAGCAACATTGGTGCTTAATTAGCCAGTTTTTTTTCCTCCTTTTGTTTTTCTTACTTTGTTTTGTCACAACTTTGTTCTTAACGACTGTTTCTTGGTGGGTGTTCTTAGGGCTTGCTCCTCCAATCATGTGAGTTGATTTCCTGGTTAAAATCAACAACCCTTGGCTCCTCTCATTGGTCTTGCTTTCATTCCATGTTGCTCCCCCCCACTTCTTGTCCCCTTTCCCTGGCTACAGTTGAATCCCAAACAGTTTGCAGTGGTTGCTTCAGGAGGAGAATGGCACAGAAAATGTTTTCGGACCATGTCAACTCAGGCATGATTGGGGTTTCAGGCTTTTCTTGCTCTAGCATCAAACTTCTGCATGTTGTTTGTGTGAGGAGCCCAGCTGCATCTGAGACCAGTGACTGGAGAGGACTATGAGAACAGTTTGAAGTTCCAGTTTATTTTCTGGGCATTGTGGTGATGTGCATCTTTTAGTCAAACTAGAGCCACTTCCCAGAATTTTAAGGCCAGAGACTTCTCTGGCACCTGTGGGGAATTTTAATAAAGTATTTGCCCCAAAACTTCTGTTATAAATGACTTTTCACATTGTAAAACAGTGTGCACCATGTAGCATTTTTTTCCAGCTCCTGTTTAGGTTTAAATTGGGCATCTGTTAAATCTTAGTGAAAATTATTTTAAAAGCAGATCCAGGGAAGAAACCTGAAAATTTGGTTAGAAGTATCCATGGAAAATCATTCAGGTGGCAACCATAAATCCTCTAGCTTTTCTTAGCAAAAAGAAAAGATGGTTATGAGCAAAACCATCCTGTGGTGTGCACCTTCCCTTTGGGTTCTGGAGCCATGGAAAGCTGAGCTGGCCTTTGGCTGAGGACTGGACAAAGGTCCTGCCCAGCAACTCCTCTGTTGTGCTGCCTGGTGGCCTGGTTCCAGCTTTGACAAGACACCCAACAACTCACAGGGAGCCCTGTGGTTCTTCCTCACAGCTTTGTAGATGAACCATTCAGAATTGCTTTCGAGAGTGAGAAAGCATTGAACTAAAACCGGGCACTCTTTGCACGGTCGTTAGGTGGGATTTCCTTGTTTGTCAGGTGTGGTACAGGGCTCTGGAGCCCACAAGCACATTTGGTCTGCATGGCAGCCCAGTGGGTCCAGGAGGGTAACAGATGACACCCCTCAATTATTTATCTGACATAATTCTTTTTACAAAAGCCTTAAATGCACGTGGTAAAAAAAATTTCAAACGGTGCACAAAGCAAATCTCTCTCACACCATCCACTAACGCTCCTTCCCAGAGGCTGGCTGCCCCTGTGTTTGCCTTCTTGTATTTCTTTCCAGAGAGAATCTGCGCAAATAGAAACTTAAACGTCTATCCATCCCCCTTTGTTTTCACTCACTTGGTAGCACACTCTACAACTAACTGGCCCACGTCTTGTTTTCCACTTCACTGTGTATCAGAGGTCATTCCATCCCTCCCTGTTTTGATGTTATACAGCCTTTCATTGTGTGGGTGTGCCTCCGTCGGTTTACATTGTTTTTTGTCCTTTATTATTACAAACAAGACTGCAGTGAACCTTTGTGTACTTTGTGACCATATGTATAAGATAAATATCTAGAAATGGAATGACTGGGCCCAAGGGTATATGTGTTCTAAAGTTTGGTAGACATTGCCAAATTGCCTTCCAGCTAACTTTTTTTTTTCGGTAAGTGAGCTCTACACCCAACACGGGCTTGAACTCACAAACCTCAGATCAAGAGTTGCTTGCATGCTGTATTGACTGAGCCAGCCAGGTACCCCACCCCCCGCAGCTAACTTTTTTGAAAGCTGAGTAAAGGAGATACCTAAAGAGGTGGCTCTGAAATTCACCTCCGGGTTACCCAATCTGTGAGTGGCAGGGCAGGAACCAGAACCGGGCTGTGTCTCTAGGCCTCGCCCTTTTGCCTAGCTCCAACCTGCCTCTCTCCGGCAGTGGCTCAGGTTCCCAGGCCCTCAGTCCCCCTCAACAGCCCTGTCTCTTCTCCTCTGACCCTATCACTCTGCCCTCCCAGTTCAGTGGCCTCCCCCTCCAAACCCCCTTAGTAATTAAGCTGATTCTTTTCTGACATTCTCAGACCTCTTGCAGGAACGCAGGGATTGCCCGTAGCCTCTCCAGGGCTGGTACTTTTCACCTCAGTCTGGTGGTTTTGACAGTGCCATTCATGAATCTCAGAACAGCATTCCCCAATTTTTTTTTTTTTTTTTTGTGAGAGCAGAGATGGGCAAGAGGGAAGTGGATCAGTCATCTGCCCCCTGCACACACACCCCCGCCCTGCCGTGCACCCTGTGTTCTGTCACACTGAATGGCTGGCCCTTATGGGACCCATTCACCCACCCTCCACCCACCCATGACCACTACCCTCATGTCTGTCTGGGCCCCCAGAAAGCAGGAGCCTGGTCTCATCTGTGTTTACATCTTCAGTGCACTCAGGGGGCTGGGCCCCCACAGTGCTGCCTGGGCCAATCTGTGAGTGCAGTGCTCTGGCCAAGTTGTCCGGGAGCAGAGCCATCCATGCATCTTTCAGTCTGGTCTCCTAGAGAAGTGCTGAGAAGGGAGGGACAGCCAGAGAAGTTCCTGGGTCTGGTGACAGTGCTTGGTCCCATCCCTGCTTGAGAGGCCCCATCTTGGATTCTCTCCTACTCCTCAGCCCTTTTAATCAAAGTCTTTTGGGTCAAAAGAATTTGTAGCTACCAGCCCCACAGGGGAATATGCCATCAGTTAAGAGCTGGCCGGCCCAGGTTTTCAGGGCAGGTGGCAAGCCAGCTTGGGTGTCCGCTCTGGAGTGCCGCCCCTGCCGCAAGGGCTTTAGGCCCGGTAGCCCCATCCCCTTGCCCACAGTCTCATATGAGCGGCACCTCCCTGGGCCAGGGGTCCCCTGGTTTGGAGTCAGAGCCACCCCCGAAGCCTCAGATGGTGACTCCTCCCGCTTCAGGTAATCAGGGAGGCAGCAGCACGGGGTGGGGGGGGGTGCCTGTGGCCACTGCCAGCCCACTCCAGGCAGCGAGGTCATGTCACCCATGTGCCTCTGCTTCTTTCTTTAGAAACTTCCTCAAGGTGTAGGGCTGCAGAGGTGTGAAGATGGCAAAAGGAAAGCTGGAACCTAGGGCTCCCAATTCATGGGTTCTCTTCCAAGTAGTTACCCTGGTGATGGTGTCACTGGAGAACTGAGGTGCAAGCCACAGGGTTTTGCCCCTGAGCAGAGTCCCCCAGCTCGGCTGTTCACAGGGCTTCACCTGATGACCTTTGACTGTTTCCAAAAATCAAAGACAGATTTGCTACGTCTGGGGACATTGAAAATGAAGTGGTGCCAGCTTTTTTTTTTTTTCTTTTTTCAATCACCTTTGTCCATTTGATGAAAGGTGAGATGGTTACAGTGACCATCCAGGGGCCCAGCTCTCATGGCAACATGTTCCTTGGGACCCCTGGTTTAAGAAAACAGCTTCACCCTCCCCCCGCCATCACTTTGAAAATTAGAGTTTCAGATGCAGCAGCCTCCCTTTGGAGAGATGGGGACTAGCCAGAGGACTATTTTCAGGGTAATTACAATATCTGTCATTTAGGGAGCATTTATGTGTCAGGGCCTTACTTACAGGGTCGCTGATCTATACACACCCCGGGTAGCCGTCCCTACCCCCGGTTTTTCAGATGAAGAAATTCAGACCACTCAGCTGGTAAGTGCCAGGACTTGAACCTTAATCTGTTTCCTCCAAAGCTGGGGCTCTTTATTCACCTTTCACTGTTTCTTATTGAAGACAAAGCAAATGATCAAGGGATTCCACTTGAGTCCCTGAGAGAAAACTAAGGTCATTCCATTTAGCTTTGAGATGAGGCTACTCAGGTGAATATGCCAGACTTGACTCGCCGGAGGCTCTGAGCCTCAGGCGGGATGAAGGGCAGTGGCTAAGTGCGACTGTCCGGCAGTCAGGGTGAGAGCCAGCGGCGGGGGGGCGCTGGGGCAGGAGGTATGTCTGCATGGTGGCTGTGCAGAGCGGGCCAGATGGCTTTGGGTGGACCAGGATTCCACGTCATTTACTGCACCCACATCTCCCTTTATTTCAGATGTTTTCAAGTCAGCAAACATTTACTGAGCATCTACTATGTACAAGGTATGTTGTGGCTGCTTGGGGGAGGGGATGTGGGGAACAGGGGTGAATGAATCACAGTATTGTTGCTACCCTTAGGAGAAACTGGCGTAACGGGGCAGACATGAGGAGGACACAGGGTTCTGAGCGGCAAAGTGACTTGCCCAATAAAGACTAAGCACGAGAGCCCCCTGACTCTGTTTGGGGCGTCAGGTACAGCTTCCTGGACTCTTAGACTGGGCTCTGAAGGTCAAGTCACATTTTCTTGGGCCGAGAAGTGAGGCAGATGTTCTTGGCAGATGTGCTGAGGGGGGTCTGCCGTACTTTCTGGCATCGTCAGACTCCTGGGCCCACGGGCATGGGCTCCTGAAAGGAGAGTCCAGCTGCCTGGGTTTTGTCCCCTGCTCTCGGCCTTCCCACCATGAGTTCTCCCCAGTTGTGGCGCTGCCTGCCCAGGCTCTAGTCCCGCCTCAGGCCCAGAAGATACTGTGGGTGGGGCTCTTCCTTCTGGAATGACAGCACGCCCTGCTTCCCTTGCTTGTAATTTTGGCCGCCAGGCCAGGTCTCAGACTGAAGGGTGGTGGGGTGGGGGCTGGGCGAGTGCTGCCACCTGGTGGTTGGCCTCTGGAGGAGGCCCGGCCTTCTCTGAGATCTCAAGTGAGTCAAAGAGCAGCAGCCCACCTTTCTGTTCCCAGGGCACCAGGCTCAAATTTACCTGGAGAAACACGGTCGTTTCTGGGGCTGGAGGGAAGCAAGGAGGGATCCTCCCTTCTCTGTTGCACGCTGGCTCCTCCCCAGCCAAGAAGTCTCAGGCAGCCCTTCTGAGGCACCGGGGAGATCGTTTAGGGTCTCCCAGTGGCCCCTGTCCTAAAGGGATTATGTGCTGGCCCAGGGACAGAGGCCAGACCCCCTTCTGAGCATCCCTACTCCCTGTTTCCCCTCGCAAAGAGTAAGGGGCCCCTCTCTGACACTTGCGTTTGGGCCTCAGGACAGAGGTGACTAACAGAATCAGCATGTGTTCTCAATGCTCTGGCCTCAGCCTGATATTGTTACCAGATGAGAACATGTCTTACTGGGTTTAATTCTGATGGCTGTGGAGACAGAGCACTTCGAGTAACAGGCAGCCACACTGTGTCCTGAATAAACCCTGTCCCCTCCTACCTTGTCCTGTTGGGGGCTGGGGCTAGAGCTGGCTTTGGGGCTTCGAGAAGAGCGCTCCACTACCACCCTCCCCCATCGGCTGTCTTGGCCATGCTAGGGCGCCGGTCCTCCTGCAGAGCAGCTGGGAGATGGCCTCACGTCCCAGCCTGCTCCCCCCTGCTGGAAGCTGGCTGTAGGCATGGGGTTCTGGGCTCCAGCCCGGGCCTCCTCAGGCTAATGCTCTCTCTACTTTTTCTTCCTCTGGAGATGAACATCTGCAACAAGCCCTCCAACAAGACAGCCCCTGAGAAGAGTGTGTGGACAGCGCCTGCACAGGCCCGCAGACCGTCCCCCGAGCTGCAGGGCCAGCGGTCGCGCCGGAATGGGTGGAGCTGGCCCCCTCACCCTCTCCAGATTGTGGCTTGGCTGCTGTACCTCTTCTTTGCTGTCATTGGCTTTGGGGTCCTTGTTCCCCTCCTGCCTCACCACTGGGTGCCCGCTGGCTATGCTGTATCCTTGGGAAAGTATGGATAGTACATGGAAGGCCTGGGGTAGTAGACAGGGACATGGCAGGGGCCTGAGGCCGTGCTCCGGAGCCTCAGAGAGGGCAGGCAGGCCCCGTCTCTACCCAGGAGGACCAGCGGCTGGCCTAGCTTCCAGCCCCTATTTTGACCTCTCTGCATGATGGGGTGAGCAGATGGACCTAATGTACCTTGGAGCATTTAGAGCCCACACAGCTGGGAACCTCATTACCTGAGGTACCACAAGGGTGATCACAGAAGAAAGCCTTAAAGCTAATTATGTCCAGAGCTTGACAGGGGATAAGTTAAGGAGTAATTATTCCACTTATTATTACTATTTTTAAAAGATTTTATCTATTTATTTGACAGAGAGAGACACAGTGAGAGAGGGAACACAAGCAGGGGGAGTGGGAGAGGGAGAAGCAGGCTTCCCGCCGAG